TGATATGAAAAGATTATTCTGTGTTTTTTTATCTGGGTCAACTAGGATTCACATGGCAGGACTAGAAATTAGCAAAAGTAAAAGGTGGTAGCATTCTTTCAAAATATCCAATTCTGTGTGTATGTATGTGTATGTAATTAATACTTTTTAAATAAAAGCAATAAATTTGTCGTTGAGAATTTTGGATTCCAGGGCGCCTGGGTGGCTCAGATGGTTAAGCGTCTGCCTTCGGCTCAGGTCATGATCCCAGAATGCTGGGATCGAGTCCCCCATCGGGCTCCCAGCTCAGCGGGGATCCGGCTTCTCCCTCTGCCTCTCTCTTTCTGTCTCTTTCTCTGTCTCTTATGAATAAATAAATAAAAATCTTAAAAAAAAAGAATTTTGGATTCTGTAGAGTAATTAGAATGCTCAGGGATTGTAGGACTCTCCAAGTTTTAAATATAAGTATTGTCTAAAGACACTGTGGTGAAATTTTGGAAAAGGAAACCTATCGAACATTGATCTCAGTTACTTGAAAAGCTGTGCATGACAACTTCTTTATTGGGGAATTTAAAAAGCAAAATTTGTGAAGGGACTCTTTCCTGCCTGTTCAGAGGATTGTTTATGGTTTAACTGAGAACCCAGTGGTATTAAATATTTTCAGATTGGACTGATACTCATTTCATAATTATTTTATGATACTTAAAGTGATGCGTACAGAGCTGTGTAGAACTCAAGTAACAATATTTTGAACAAGTGTAAAAATGAAGCAGATTCTACAGCAATCCATCAGTTTTCATTGCAGGTGCTTTCTTCCTCCTTAGCCCTTTCCAGTTTGGTAGATTGTACCTAACCTATGATAAGGATATTTGGTTCTAAGGGTTTATAGAGATAACTGGAAACAAGTGATACATATCAGGACAAGAAGTCTTAGCTTCTTGTCAAAAAGTAAATCTTCAGTTCCATAAAGTTGTTGGTATAAGAGTTATTTATTAAATATCTTTATGTGATGTATAAAATAGAAAAGTCTGTAATTCCAAGTAGAATATTCAAAATGTTCCTTGATCTAGGTCAGCTAGGTCACAAGCTCCAGGAAACCAGATGTGCCTTTTTGCCTTTGGAGTATGAATTTTTTACTCAGATAAATTTTACAAGAGTATCTATCATCAGACATTTATTTGGGTTGAAAAATACTTTTTAATAGATAGCAGTATTTCTAGTACTCAGAAGGAGGAACTGTTTCCATTCAAAGCATCAGAAAGCCTCATTGCTGCTGGTGCTGCTTGGATCTGTAGGTTTACAGTTTTTCATCAAATTTGGAAAAATTTCAGTCATTATGTCTTCAAATATTTTTCCTCCCTTGCCCCCCTGCTTTTCAGGAAACTCCAGTTACACATATATTAGGCCACTTGGGATTGTCCTACAGCTCACTGATCAGTTCATCTTTTAAATTCTTTTGTCCCAGTGTTTACTTTGGATCATTTTTATGTCTTTAAGTTCACTTAAACTTTTTCACTTATATTGTTTAGTCTGTTGTCAATACCATTCAGTGTATTTTTCATCTCTGACATTATATAATGTTTTCACCTACAGTGTTTGATTTAGACCATTTTTTATATCTTCTGTATCTCTACTTTTTTGGAGCTATGGAGTATACTTACAATTAACTTTTAATATCCTTACCTACCAATTTCACATCTAGGTCAGGTTAGGTTGGTTTTGATTTTTCTTCATTATTATGGATCGTATTTGCTTGCTTCTTGGCATGACTAATAATTTTTGATTAGATTCCAGACACTATGAACTAGGTGCTGGATATTTTTATATTCGTACACAAAGTGCAGAACTTTGTTCTGGGATGGAGTTATTTAGAAGCTTCAATCCTTTCAGGTTTTATTGCTAAGCAAGATTTGTTAGGTAGGACCAGAGCAGTGTTCAGTTTGGGTTAATGATTCCCCATTGTTGAGGCAAGTAAGACATGTGTGCTCCATCTAAAGCCCCATGAATCGTGTTTCCTCATCTCACTGGTGGGAATGAACAGGTACTATTCCCAGCTCCGTATGAGCACCAGTCTGTGTTCTAAGTCTTTCAGTTGGTTTTTTCTCTGGTCTTGGATAGTTACCTTACATGTATGCACTATCAGCACTCAGCTGAAGACTTGCAAAGTGGGGGTTGGGTCATAGTGTGCATGTTTGTGGAGTTTTCTGTGCAGATCTCTCCAGTCCCTTGAACCTTAGTTGCCTTGGTCCCTCTGGACTCGGCTCAGTCTCAGCTCGGAATGCCTTCCAACCCCACCTGTGTTCTCCCTCTTTGCACTCCAGCTACACCCTAGAAACTCCCAAAGCAGTCAGTTTTGCTAATCCTAAGACTAATCTCATTTTCCCCATAACTGTTCTTTGTTGCCTGTTGTCCAGTGCCTGAAAACCATATTTTTTTCATGTAATTTGTGGTTTTGGTTGTTTCAAGTGAGAGGGTAAATCTGGCCCCTGTTGTTTTCACTTTGCTTTAAGTAGAAGTCTGAGTTAATATGTTTTTTAAATTTTTGTTTTAATTTCTAATATGGAAAATATTGGTAGATGTAATTGGTCATAAGCAAAAGCTCCTTGGGGTCCTCAATAATTTAAGAATGTAAAGGCGTCCTGAGATTAAAAGGTTTGAGAACGAGTGGTCCAGACCAACATTTCCCAGTGCTTCCTTAAGATGTTAGTGGTTCCATGGACAACTAATTTGGTGTAAGACTCTCAAGTTAAAGCAGACTTCTCAACCACAGGCTCTCAAAGCCTTCAATATGCTGGTGTGTCACATATGTGTGTGTGTGTGTGTGTGTATGTGTATGTGTCGATATGGATTGATAGCAGTACTTGCTAAACTTAACTGATCTTGAAGAACTTTTTGGAACTAGAGTTGCCAGCAGTCCTCCTCAAATATACCAAACCAGCACAAGGGGCTAAAAACAATCCCAAGTGGGTTGTTTTAAAAATAAAAGTATATATTTCCATACAGCCCTTTAATATCACATTTGGATTACTTTGGGGCTACCCTATTGACTTACATCCAGATGTTGAAAGTGATTCCTCCCAGAGCAGTCTACTCAAAGCCAAATTCCCTTTTCCACTCCTGGAACCACTGGTAACTAATTTTACAGTTTGGGAGGTGTTGTGTCATGGCTCCCAATTTAAGAATAATTTTAATTATGAGTGGATGTCTCAATTGTTTATTGGGTAGAAATCTCAAATGACTAAGCACCTGGCATTTAGAGTGTTTTCCTCTCAGATATCTATGTGTATCTCTGATTTTGGAAACTTGGTTGGTAGGTATGGGAAATGTTGGTTCTGTGTGGGGAACAGTTTAATATATACATTTTGGTTATCTATAGCTACCTAATGAACCACTCAAAAATTTAGTGGCTTAAAACAGTATTTTTATTCACAAATCTCTAGTTTGGTCAGAACTCAATAGGAATAGCGTGCTTTGTTCCACTTGGGTGTCAGCTGGGATGGTTCAAAAACTGGGGACTGGAATAACCTGAAGGCTTGCTTACTCATGTCAGCTGATGCTGGCTAATGGGAGAGATCTCAGCCAAAGCTATGGCTATAATTTCTACATGTAGCCTCTTCGTGTGGTTTGGGCTTCCTCAAAATATGGTGGCTGAGTTCCAAGAGTAAGCATCTAAAGGGAAAAAGGCAGGCAAAAGCTGTACTGTCTTTTCTAACCTAGTCTTGTCCATCATATTGTGCTAGTTAAAAATGAGTCACTAAGGTTGGCCTTTATTCGGGGGGTGGGGGGGTGGGGCGGGGAATTAGTCTTCATGTCTTGGTGGGAATGTCCAGGTTTTAAAACTACCACATAGAGAATTAGAAGTTACTCCGTAACTCTTCTTCAATTCAGCCTATCTCCATTTATTGCTGATTAACTTCCCCAGTCTTCTTAACAAAAAGGCCTTCCCCTCTGCCACAGTGGAACTTGCCTTATAAGACCTATATGAGGCACTGAAGGCTGATGCATGAATTCCTTCACTTAGTACATCCTCCAGATTGACTTCTTCCCACTAAGTTTCTGCTTATGTTTTTAATGTCCTACATAGCACACCCTGTAGCTTTTCAAAATAAGCAATATAGTATGTTAAAATAGGCTTTGGGAAAGATTCATATGTGCTCACTGATCATGCTGGTTCAGTTTTACCAGTACACATTTACAGACCAATTTCACACCATACCTCTGAAAAATAAAAGTTTGGATTGAGTCTTTGATAAAGAACTAAAAGTTTCTGGGGAAATAATAAAAATACTCTGTGTATACTTAACACTCCTTTTCTACCTGAGCCAGCTAAATGTGCCAGGACAGTGCAACATTCTTTGCAACTTATGCAGGATTGAAATTTTTGAGAAAAGCACTTCAGTTTCCAGGATTTAGTAAGTTACCATCTATCAGATCAGAATGGAGTCTAAAAAGTCATACCAAGCCTCAGATTCTAAAGTTGTCCATAGGTAGCTGTTTGTAATAATCTTTAGGTTTAGATGAATCAAAAGAATTTCTCAGTGTTTTGTTTAACAGCGTGCTTACCACCCTGGGTCATTGTGCCTTTCTGAGGAGCTTGTTAGAAGGGCTTCTATGGCCCCACTTCTAGAGAGTCTGCTTCTGTACGGTCTAGGAGTCCGCCTTTTAATACTCCCAGGTGATTCTAATGCAGGTGGTCTAGGAGCCATGCTTTAAAGAGAGGAATAACCACCAGCCAGAGTGGGGAGGGCAGGCAGGCAGGCGGGAGATGCTGCTGAATGCCATCTCTGAAGAGCTAGAACCCGTTGCCTAGCAACCCCCATTCTTGAGGCATTCTTCCCAGGTTAAAAGAGATCTTTTCCAAGAGCCGTAACGTAGACATTAGCCTAGTAAGTCAACTTGTTTAATGGGGTGGACTCTCTTTAACCACTAACGTGCACGTAGGGACCTACAATGATTTTCCACTGACTGAAATCACAGCAGCTTCTCCAAAAGGTAAATTGAAAAGATGCTGAACCACCAAATCAAGCTGAAGTTTTATTTAAAATGTAAAAGAAACAATTCTTGAAAATGCTGATGAATAAAGCAAAAGGACACCGTGCTCTCTTCCTACGAGTCAGCCAGCCTCTCCACGTACGGGACAACAGACAGTACTTAAGTGCTGGCAGAATTTCACAGTAGTTTAGTGGTAGATTATCTGTGCCTAGAGGATGTAGAGGTTCTCAGTGTGCGATCTTGGTTCTGGGCTTACACTCTACTGAGCATGAACGAGGGCTCCTGCTCCTTGGCCATAGCCAAATCCCTTGGGTCCAAAGTTCTTTGCATAGCATCCTATAAAAGAAAAAGAAGAATTAGTAGAAGACCATTAAGCTTTGCTAGCATTGCTTAAGACCCACGAAACAACAAACCCCTCTAAGTTAAAAAAAAGTTTGCCATGCCCAAGAGTTCAACCTATTGAAGATCTAGAATGAGCGATGTAGGGGCACCTGGGTGGCTCAGTTGGTTAAGAAGCTGCCTTTGGCTCAGGTCATGATCTCAGGGTCCTAAGATTGAGCCCCACATCGGGCTTCCTGCCCAGTGGGGAGTCTGCTTCTCCCTCTGCTGTGCCCTGCTTGTGCTCTCTCTCTCAAATAAATAAAATCTTTAAAATAAAATAAAATGAGCCATGTAGTAAATATCTTAGAGCTGCAAAGGCAAGTCTAAACATTCTGATGCCACAGTATTCAGCTCATGGTCCCACCTGAGTTATAAGCATAAAAATTGGGCCGGGCAAGTGACATATTTGTCTACTACCTTCATATATTCATATGCTTTGCTGAAAACATAAATTTGAAAGAAGACTCTTTATAGTGAGGTTTTTTGTCTTATTTGTTGGGGAATCTGAAATGACCAGAACTTAACTTTATTGCATCATCTCAAATTGTTCTATGGTTCTCTGTTCTAAGCATCTCTAGATCCTTTCTTATTTTGTTTTATTATTATGTTAATCACCATACATTACATCATTAGTTTTTGATGTATTGTTCCATGATTCATTGTTTGCGTATAACACCCAGGGCTCCATGCAGAATGTGCCCTCTTTAATACCCATCCCCAGGCTAACCCATCCCCCCACCTCCCCTCCCCTCTAGAACCCTCAGTTTGTTTCTCAGAGTCCATAGTCTCTCATGGTTCGTCTCCCCCTCCGATTTCCCTCCCTTCATTCTTCCCTTCCTGCTATTTTCAAATAGCCAGTGGCAATCCCACCTTTCCCCACTGTCAGAGTATCTTTTTTCTTTTTAATGCTGGTGACATTTCCTTAACCAATAACCAGTGTGAGATATTCAGATGGACAGTAATAACAGAAATTCATTTTACCTTTACAATAGATTTCACCTTCTTTCTCAGTCAGGGTTGTGGATTCAAGACTCTTCCCACACTTGGCACACCGGAAACAGTTTTTGTGCCAGGGCTGGAAGAGAAACTGAGTTAAGTCTGAGAGGTCGGTTTCTTGCAGTACAGTTTAGACGCTGCAGCAAGCGGCTCACGAAGATCAAGCCAGCGCGAGCTCCTGACTGCTGTGCTTCTGCTCCAACAAAAAGCCTGGCACTGGACCTCCCCATACCTACGTTCCTAGCCACCTGCAAAAGGGCCGAGTTCAAACCTCGTTCACAGAAGACATGGACTGGGAGCCCTACCACGCAAGGGCTGTTTCCCCAAGAGTGGTCTCAGACCTTGCCGCAAGCACAGTGTGCTCCTTTAAAGACTGTCCCTTTGGTGGCTGAGAACAGTTGCAGCTCAAAGAGGTGAAGTGGTTCCGTAACTTTCCCAAATGCACACAACGAATGAGCATTGGGTGTCCTGACCCTGGTTTCCCACTACCTGGAGTAACCCACAGAGTCCAGGTGTGTTAACCGTAACAACCTTCAGGAGCGCCCCTTATGAAAACAAGTTTCTTTCAAACATAGATGTGATTTGTCAAGTAAGGGCATCACTTCAAAAACTTAATGATTCAGCAGCAATCTAAGAAAAATGTGAATCCAAGGCATTTATTTATTTATATAAAGAGTACCTGAAGGGGACAGGAAGGGGACAAGGGAGAAAGGGAGCGGAGAGCAGTCATTCGCGGCTACTAACTCCAGATAGCACTTTACCTTTCCAGCTCCAATTATCTTCTCAGCAGCATACACAGAATCCCCACATCTGGAACACTTCTCAGCACCTCCGTATTTCTGAGCAAATTTAGAAGTGTTTGGATTTGTTGTAGGCCTGTGAGGTTGAGCACTTGTAGAAAGGGGGAAAAAATTAGGCAAGATTTACCAAAGGCCCCTTTTAGCCCACAAGGCAGATTGCCACGGGAAGCGGGGACTTCACTGCTCAACTGTCCCATAGGCGGCGGCCTTCTTACAGGTCAAAGAAAGGACTGAATCTCAGGTGCTGGTCAGCTGGTACTTTAACCTATTTATGGGCTCATTTCTGCCCCAAAAGACAGACGAGGCCCCAAACTTAAGTATCTCAGTCTAAACTCAGAATTTATTGAATCCCCAGTGCTTGCCTTCCACTAAACAATTATGCTTTGCTTTATAAAAACCTACAGTGGACATATTTTTACCTTATATTCATAGTACTGTTCATATTACCACTGGAATCACAGCTAGTTTTTTTTACTTTACCAGAGTTTGAAAAATCACTGTTAACCTAAGCAGTTAAAAGTTTTTGCAGACAGGTCAGTGGCCTTAGGTAGTCATTAAGAAAGTTAAGCATGATTTACAGATTAATTTCCTAATATATCTTAAGTAGGGGAAAGTGTGAATAAACTGCTTTCTTCATGGAAAAATATTTTAGAAAGTTTGCCTATTACTGTATGATGTTTACGTTTTCTCTGGATAGAGTTATTTTTGTCACTTATTTACAAGTCACTGGGTAAACTGTTTCCCTCGCTTTCTCTAATGTTTTCCCCTTCAGTATGTAGGTGTATCTACTCTGCAGAACAGTGTTGTGGGCTCTGAGATTTAAAGACCCCTCAAATCTTACAGGTCAGTTGAGCAGATAAGAGGACAACAGCTCGGCAAATGATACAAGTGCCCCCTTTTTCCCATTGGAAAAATGGTTTTTTTCCTGATTATAGTTTAAGTTACATACATATTTAACATAAAATGTTAATTTAGAAATACTGCCTTTTCATCAAACAATGTATTCAAACTCTTCACCTATATCTTCCATTTATTCATCTCCACTGTATCCACGTTTGGGCCATCTCACAGTTTTCTACACATCCATGTGAGGGGTTTCATATACATTTTTTGAATCATGTTTGCTGCGGCCACTGTATTTTAAGCAACAAATACAAGTGCATTACTGACTCACAATATTGGTGTTTCCAATTGTCCCTAACGTATGCATATTTTTTAAAAAAATCTCTACAACCGACTGTATTTACTTTCCTTTAAGAGTGATCTTCAAAAGCTATTCACAATGATATCCAACATTTGGAGTTAGGAGTTGCCCTGGAAAAATTTCCAACACATTATGTTAAAATAACTTAATGGAGATCTTCTCCCACCTCCCTGCTAATGACATCACAGGGTGTGGGTAATTGTTTAACCCCATGACAGATGAAGAAATAGGGGCTCAGATATTACATAACTTGTTGGAGAGCTAGAGGAATAGTAAATTGGTGAGTCTGAACTGAAAAAAAAAAAAGCAGTTCTGCCCCAACGAAATGTTCCTGCCCATGCAATGCTGTCTCCCCGGGAGATCCCTGTGAAGATATATGGTCCACATATGTTATCATTACCATGTCCCACAGGGTGCTCCAGACCACGGGCACTCCCAGAATTCAATCACTGAGAGAGGCTTCTGGAAAGGGAAGTCTACATCTGGTCCTAGTATGTGGCCAGGCTACGATGGAGAAGAGACAAGGGCACAGATCGACAGGCCAGCACAGAGGGCTTGTCAATTATTGGGAGAAGGTGGAGAAGCAGGAGGAGGTCAGGAGGTCAAGAGGAGGGTCCACTGGTCTTTGTGACTCTAAAACTATGGCCACAATCACTGACTGTTGGGATTATGGATGAATTTGGTTTCGTTTGTGGGAAGGGATATAGATACATGTGTTTTGAAAGATTTGAAATAAAACCTTAGAAAACAAGAGTGGATTTTAACAAGCTGGAAAAGGAGCGCAGAACAAGAACAACGAACTTCAACAAAGACCAAGGTAAGCTGGGCTCCCACAAGTGACGGTGCGCAGTGCTGAATGAGTCAGCCCTTGTACACAAGGCACCATGACTCAGAAACTCCGAGTGTGGGAAAAAACCAAAGAACAGACAGGTGGGCCTCAATGCAGTGGAAAGAGCACAGGTGTGGGAGCCAAATGGACATGGAGTCAAATCCTGTCTGTGTCACTTAACTGTGTGCCCTGAGCCTTAGTGTCCTGTCTATAAACTACAGACAAAATATCTAAACTCAGGGTTACTGTAAGGACTATAAAAGGAACAAATGTTCAGCAGACAATAGACAAATTATTTCAGGCATACCATAATGCACCGTGTTTAGGATTGTAAGATCTGGAGTTACACTAGGTTAATTTCCAGGCTCTACGATTAACTAGCAATATGACTATAGGAAGATCACTTCATTTTCATTGTCTAAGTTTGTTGAGTAAGATGGGAAACCCTACCTTGTCAGGTTGTTGTGAGGATTATATGAGGTAACGTGTTAATATTGCATGGTGGCCAGGTCACAGGGCAGGATGAACGGTCTTGTCCAACAAAAGGCCATCTTACTGGAATATTACACCGGTTTGGGCCTCTTCAGTATAAAATGGATGTGAAAAATGTGAAGTTCAGATGAGGGAATTATTGGGCCAAAAATAGGAATTAAGAGGAAATTATGAAATGAAAATGAAAAAATTATGTAGCCTGAACATGAAATACTAAGTGAAGTTGAACAGAGTTAGCACTTTGCTATTTTGGTACTGGACCCTTTTAAAATTTAATACTGAGCTCTCGAACAATCAAAAACAGGAAATAATTTCCATTTTTAAATAAGAATTTGTAAGTTAGAGAAAAGTCATTGCTTGGTGAAATACTCTTACATGGGAGGAGTGACTGAGGACTTTTCATTGACTGCTTAATTGTACCTGAGAAATGCATCTCATGATTCAGATACTATGTTTCTGTATCATTTGATTTCATTACATCTGATCTCTAAAACACTGTGAGATGGAAGTAAATGTAAACCATGTGCTTTTGAGAACATGACTCCTTGATACACCGAAGAATGCAACAAAATCAAGGCTAGAAATCACTGGAATAATGAATACGAATTTTGTTAGGTCCCAAACGGTCCATTTCAAGCTTGAAGAATAGTTACTCATTTATACTAGAAAATTGGAATAATCTTGTGTTCAGTTATTTTAAGCTAAACATCTGTTCTGTCCCAGACTCCTGTTCACCAAGTAACATTAACTGTTATGACTCTTTTCTGAAGGTAACAAACAGGGTCCTAACTCACCTCTCTGGCTTGATGCCCAGCCTCTCACCCCGGTCCATGTTGAGCGTGCCGGCGCCCTGGCCGTAACCGTAGCCTTTGGGCCCATACTTCTTCCCGTAGCAGGATTTGCAGTAGATCTCCTCATCATGAATTGCCACTGTTGTGCTATCTAAATTTTTCCTGCAAACCACTGGGGGGGAATAAGTTAGACCTTTAGAAACGTGCCAGAGATGCCTTTTTCCTTAGAACAATGGTGGCCCTGACACATGGTCTACAAATGGTAAAGGCCTAGGCTCTCTCACATTCCTTTTTCTCCCGCGGCTTCCCAAACACCAGGGACAGCATCTGGACTGGGTCAGCTACAGCTGAGGACGATTTGCCCTTCTCCACAGATAGGATCGTTGTTTCAGAAACATACCAGAATTTTAACTGCCCGAAGCCTCAACCTTTTCTATAGGCTTGGCCTCTCTGGGAGGAGGGAGAGAAGTTCGGAGATGGCTATAATTACGTGAACAAAAGGAACACAATTAACACGTTGCTCCCAACCCTCAACACAATCTTTTCCACCTCTTCCTAGTATTGCGAAATCACAACCTAACAAAGAACCAAAGGGTGGCTGAGTGCCCTGTGGGAGTTGGCTCTGCACCCCTCCTCCCCTAAAGAGCACCCCGGGCATAAAAACGGCTTTCAATCCAGAATTGTAGTTTTCATCATGAGCCTAGAAGGGAAAAAGCATTATTTTTTCATCTCGCCACTGGCTTCTCCAGCAGTGATGAGTATGTCTGAAAATTGTAAAGTGGTTTGAAGTCTGCATTTGTGTTTCCCTTCTGTCCCCAAAGAGAACACATTCTTTCTTGATGGTTTTCTTGCCACAAGACATTTCCACGTATCCCACTTCATAAAACTGCCAAATGTCATCATGTTTTACCCAGACATTATTTCACTTTCTAAAACTTCACTTAAGTTTGAGAAAAAAAGGAAACTATGAGGGAACTTGCTGGTAGCACAGCTGGGCAGCTGGAGATCCAAGATTAGGAGACAAGGGGATTGTTTCCCTCCTATTTCAAAGGGTGGGGGGGAAATGCAAGGCGCAAGAAAGGAAGGACAGAAAGACGGGGCAGGGAAAGGCGACTAAAATAGTTAAAATTACAAAGTTTCTGTTAAGACTACCGTCTTCTCGGGTAGAAGAGAATGATGTCATCTGCTCTGGAACCTTGCTGTTGAGGCTCAAGAACTGAAATACATTTGCTGGGAGACACTGTTCACCTAAAAGCATACATTGCTAAAGAACAAACACCCTTAACAGAATATGCAAAAATACAAAAACTGTTTCAAAGGCCACATATCTATTAACCAAAGCAAGTTCATGAAAACTGTACCGTCTTACTACCCTTCCTTCCTTCTGTCCTCATCTCTCTACAGTAAAATTCTCCTGGGTTTGCCAAGTGCTCCGAATTATATCCTTAACAGGCTTTAGTCAGCAGAGACCAATACTCAGAAGTAGTAGTAAAATCGCCAGGAAAGAAGTTGACATTAAGTAAACAGTGACTTTATTGCGGTGGAGAGACTATCCTGGCTTAATGTAGATGAAGCTAAGAACAATTTCTCAAGTATCTGTATTCTTTGTTCACATACTCTTGGTTTCAAACCTGCTGAAAAATAATTCCTAAAAAAAAACCCCAACAAACAAAAAAGTAACTTCTAAGAGAAGAACTGCTTAAACCAGATCTGAGACATGGTAGCTATTATGGGGGCCTACACAGTAAACATGTTATATTTTTATTCTTTGTAACTGCGACTTTCTGTTGTCTGTTTATAGTTGCCTGCAAAACAGCTACACTGTAACAAGGTCCCGAGTGTCGAACGCTGGTGCCTAGAGGGAAAAGGACAACTAAGCACACTTAATGCGAGCAATTTCTAGCAATAATCCTCACTGTACAGGACTACAGACATGTCTGCACGCACGGGTGGGTTCCTCACATTAACAAATCGCTCATCAAAGAAAATTTTGTCCTTTGAGTCAGAAGATGATGCTTAGTGAAGAGCTTTCCAAAGCGGCTTCTCTCCTGCTTGCAACTGAAGGCTGAGCTGTCACTAGAGAGGGCACGCAGGGGGAGGGGGCCTGGGTCTCCTTCTGTGTCTGTCAGCGAACACACATGTGCTTCATGCCCTCCTGCCTGTCCTATCAGAGGCTGATCATTTCCCATCTAGAAACAGTAGTAATTCCCAACTTGCCTTGATGGGATTTTCATACCCTACGTTCCCTTCCCTCAATTAGGATATCAATAACCAGAAATAACTGAATTTTCACTACCAGAGAAGATGGGAATTTCACTTGTAGACATTTGATTTCAGCGAGTCGTGGTGTGCCAAGAAACAAGCGAGGAGGTTTCAAAGAGAAGGGGCCCCGCCAGGAGGAGAAAGCTGGGGGGGTGGGGGGGATGAGGAGTGACCTGCTGATTCGGAAATCAGAGCCCAGCCCTTACCCTGTGCCAGAAGCCGGGCCCAGCTCCAGGCTAAAATCGACACCGCGCTCTTCGCGAAGCAGGGGAGACAGAAGGGAGAACAAGCAAAATCCAGTGAGGGCCCAGCGGAGGCTAGGAGCGATGGGGACACGGCAAGGCCTCGTGGGGCCGGTCACCCCCGCCGTCCGTGCCGCCACGCTGGGCCTTCACGCTGCCCGGGACAGGCAGGCAAAACCCGCCGGCGCTTCTAACATGACCTCCGTTAACATCAGCGCAGTGTCCGGTTAAATAGGTAAATGGAGGCTTGTTCCGGACACACGCGTTCCGTGGGACGTCGGGCCCCGGGAGCTACTTACTGCACAGAAAGCAGCAGCGGTGGAAGCTTCGGCCGTCACACTGCACCTCCTCCGCGTGGTACACGGTCCTCCCACAGGCCCCGCACTTGTTGCCACCTCCCCAGACGGGCATCCTGAAGGAATAAAGGGCTCGTGAGAAGGTCCCCGCACCCTACGGGACGCCTGCCACGCTCCCAGGGGGCCCGCGGCACATTGTTTCTTTAGGCACTGCTCTGACCACCTCTGCAGAGGCCCGCGTTCCTCCAGGTTCGCCGCCTCTAACTGCAGCTCCATTAGCGAGCTCGGGCTTGTGGGCACAAGCGCGTTCCTGCAGGACAAAGGAGCTGCGTTCCGAACGGTACGGGTCGCCGGCACAACCCAGACGAGGCCACCAGCGTCCCGGGAGCTAAGAAAGGAGAGTGGGAGTGGGACGAGAACACTGGCGCCCCCACCCCCCCCAACCCCGCACGCCCATCTTAATGATGGGTTCGGAAAACTCCGCTGAAGAATACACACTCGGGGGAGAGGTTTGTATTGCTCGTTTAACTCACTGTAACACTACCGGGTTCTTAACATAGACCGTACACAAGCTGTGACACTTTCGAGGGAGGAAGAAAGTGTCGAGCTGCCCTGCAAGAACTAGTCTTCTGTCTGGCCGCTGGAGTCGTGCAAGATTACAGCATCAGCGGCTGGGTCTGCCTCTGCAGCTGCGGGCATGCAGCCTTGCTGTAACCACAACAGACAGCCCTCCAGATGGCTACGATTTAGGTTCTCTGCTTCACTAATCCCCAGGCCCCCAGCCCAGCCAGGGGGTGTTGGCCCCACTTTGATAGGCCTGTCAGTCCATACACAGGGCGCTACCAAGTTCCCTCCCCGGCGACGTGAAGGGTCTGGCGAGGCCGTCTGAGCGCCGTGGCCCGCCTCTGTGGGACAGCTCCAAGTCGAAATCCTGCCATCTTGCTAGGATGTGGGGCCAACGTGTTCTGATCTCCCTCCCCAACGAACTGGTCCACCTGGGCGCCGTTTAAAATGCCTACTTCGGCATGGCCATGTGCACAGTCGGCTGTCTCTGCAGTCCTTCAAGAACGGTGTGTTTTGTCTGCCCTGCCCTGAGAGGTGTCTAAACACACAGGGTAAGAAGAATGCCTTTCTTCCGCACCATCATTTTCAGACCTCTCTTGTGAGTGGTATTGGCAGCCCTTGGTGGTGAAGTGTCCTTGGATGAGATGCATGCCTCTGTAGGACGTAGCTGGATGAGAAACAGAGACCTCCTTCCTAACTCGGCCGTGGCTAGCTAAATAAGGGAAAAGGAGGGCTGCTTCGCAATCCATTGAAGAATCTTCAGTCCTTAAAAAGGAAGGTGGTAAATTCCCATCCTCCTGCCCATCCTACAGCATTTAAATGATCCAGAACCCAATGACTCCCTGAACACGGAGATGAGGGCTTTCTAAATGCAAGTTGTACAGAATCAGTCACCGTGTTGGGCACATTTCTGGATGTACGGCATTCTCTTGACCCTCTTCTGGTCACACCACGGGGAAGCAACCGTCTCTTTCTAGGTCCATATGCTTTAGGGCAGTCTTTATTAAAATGTGGTCTCCTTGTGATGGTCCACCACGCCTGGTACCAATTCAAGATGAAATTCAGGTGAGAATTTAGAAACTTTAAACAATTTTACGCCCCAACAATCAAGAGCATGATCAGTGGACTCATCCTGTTGAACAGCATAGAATCAGAGAATCAATCTGCACTTGGAAATTAAAACAAAAAATGGTCCTCTACCAGATAGTTTGAGAAACACTTGTTTAAAGGGTATTGACTCTACCCTCAACTCCAGGGCTGGGCGTGTGACTCGGTCATGGCAATTAGGTCACTGCGGCCCCCACCCTCCATCACAGTGATTGATGTGGGAATGGTCACATGACCCTAAGGCAGGTCAGGGAAAGTTAAGCCCAGGGCCTTTGGTTTAGGACCGTGTGGATGCAGGGGTGGAGATGCTAGCAGCAGTCTAGCCATTGTAAGAAAAGAACCTAAGAATGAAGCCAGCACAGAAGAAAAGAGATGGAGAGAGTGGACTTAGACACTTTTCAGCTGCGTCTTGTCTTATCCTGGGTGCTATGAGAGCCAATAAATTGCCTTTTCGAGTCATTTGGAGATGGAGCTCCTGTTCCTTGAAACAAACACATATAAAGAGACCTGACCGATAGGACTAGATATCACTCAACTGTTGGCCTCAGCTTGCAAAACGCCTCCTTCTTATTCAGACAGGACCAGGGTAATTCCAAGGGTCCACCAATGTCACCGGCTACTGTGAAGGCATCCACAGAGGATCAATAACTAGCAACAAGGGAAGAGATCTGCAAGCTTTCCTTTAGTAGTTGCATAAATCTGTTATTCCCTTCCCTGGAGACAGGTGCTCCATTGTTTAACTCCACAGTGAAATTTGAGCCTAACTGTAGAACCTCAGCCACAAAGCCCTGGTTCCAAAGGCCTTCCACTGGCTGGAGTCTGGAGTGCATTTAGTAACACGGACTTTGCCCCACGGCTCCAAAGTTACCAGAGTTCTGGAATGCTCACAGAGGCCACAGACATCTGCAGGAAGTACCCTCGTGATTCCAGAGGAAACCTAAAACCAAATCCAGGCCCGCAGGTAATGACCTTACAATTACGTAAAATTGGATCCCAAGCATCAACAGCCCGGCTGGCTTTGGAAATCCTTTGTGATTGTCAAGGCATTTCTCATCATATGAGAAAGCGTACTAGTTATTACCAACGTGTATTTTACATTTTCACCCATATTCGCTTTGGTGCTATCACCAGTAAGGAACCAGATTTCCATCAAGACTAATGCCCTCTTGGGTTATCTTTGAATAGCATTTAAAAGCACATTTTTCAAAAACAAACTCATCACTTTATGTTATTCTCTATTAAAAAGCAGCCTGGATTTTTAAAAAGGGTTTTTTATGTAATTTTATGTAATTCAGTTACTTAAATTCACTTCTTGTAAGTCAAGTCTGATTTCTACTGCCCATGCCACACGAGCCAAAGGAGTCACTTTTCAGGAAATACCCAGCGAAGTGTTACAACATTCAGCCTTCTGTGTGAAAAGTCTTTTCCCCTCTAGGGTGGGGACCACACCTCTGTCTTCCCCACCATCTACCAGAGTACTTGGCACATGTCAAGATAACTTCTATTGTTTTAAAGAACTCTCCCTTTTTCAACCTGTCTGTACAGTTCTCAGTCCAATCTTATGCTGATCAACACAAAGGTAGCACTGGTCTACTTCTCTTTGTCACATTTTTGGATTCTAAGTAAAATTTCCAAGTCATTAACATTTTAAAAGTTCCATCCAGTTTCAAGGCTTTCGTAAGGATTTCTGCATAACCCTCTCTGTGGTCCAAGCAAACGGTATAATAGAAAGAGCATCCTCACAAAGCTTCAGCTGGAGTTATGCTTTATTTTTTATGCTGGATACTGAGTAGTTGGGTGTTCCTTATAGGATTCTCTATTTTGTGTGTCTGAAATATTTCAGCATGGAAATAAGGGAGGGAGGAAGGGAGGGAGGGAGGGATGGAGGAAGATTGGTTTGGGTAGATCTGGGTTAACATCACTGTTAAGATGGTTCTGCAAACTTGGGCTTAGTTTTCTCATCTGTAAGACAGGGAAAGGTAGCTCTCTCTATCCAAAGGAGATATTGTGAAGATATAAGAAGGTGAGCAAACGTTTTGGCAGACATCTAGTAACTGTGAGCTTGAAAATGGAAGGGGCCTCTCATATTGTCCATCCTGCTGTAAGTACTCCAGTAAGGAAACCCACTATAGAAGAGCGTAGCTCAGAGCCACAAACACAGTAAAGAAAAAACTTAGCTGATGAGTCACTCATAAACCTTCTTTGGGAACATTCAAACACACTGTAAGTGTGATGATAGTTCCATTTGTGGTACCAAAGAAATGAAGTTCAAATTTATACTTTTAGGGTGAACCCCAATGGACATTTCCTGAATTTGGCAGGAGGAAGTGTGATGATCTTCCATTTCTGTCACTCTGGGCATGGTTATGCACAGAACAAAATTCTAAAGCTTCGCGGTTCCTACAGGCCTTTGGCTGCACTACTCCCCAACGGCTGACGTTAATCACAGCAAACTGGATTTGCACTGAGCAATCTGGGCTGCATGCCTTTCCCCAGTCCTATGCATTAATTTACAGAATAGTGAGAGGAGGAATGAAATCTCACTTTGCACATACCACGCGAAAGAGGCCAAACACAGGCTTATTCTCTGTTTCTCCGTCTGTTCTTTGTTTTTCAATGTCTGAAAGAGTTCTAACGCTAGGATTTATCCGCTGTGTTAGATTAAAAAGCTTGGTTTACATCTAAACACCTATATGCAGTTTCTCTTTGCTGCTTCTCCCCAGGCAAAGACACCACCCAAAATTTCCTAAGACTTACCCCTAGGAGAAAATTACTATCATCTAAATCTGAGTCACCTTGTGGTAAAGTTACCTCATTCTCTAGATAATCAACAAGAGCCACAGAGTGACCACATGGATCATTCTCACACCACCTGTTCTGCATTTAGCATCTTATTTTAGAATCTAAGTGTCTTGAATCCATGAGTCTAGAGTCTACATGTCGCCACTTGCAGTGTAAGTTTTTTGCTCTGATATTAGAGGTTTGGAGTGAATCCGTCTATAAACCCAGATTCTAAATACTTCCAGAAGCTTTGACATTTTATTACTACATACAGGGTTTTGTTATTACCCTAGATCCTGGGTAGAATCCAATTTCCCAAAAGGGAGATTTATTATAAACCAGTTTCATCTTGAGACACATCCAGAGGGGTCACTAGTGAAAGAATATGTAGTTAGTAGCATTGTCCCAAATTACAATGATTTTTAACAGAGTTTGAGAGTTGTAGTTAATTGGAAATTAAGCTTTACTCAATGCCCATTCTAAAAATGCTTCCTTCTACTTAACCAAACTATCTGGTTAGTCTACTTCCCATATCTAAGTGAATACCACTGAACCAAGGATAGACTTCATGTCTTAGTGAGCAGCTCCATGTTCCATTTGGCTCCTTCTACCAAAGCCAAATCTTCAAGACAGCTCAGCCTAAGGGTGAATTAAGAGCATGGATTTTGAAGTCAACACAGTCTCATTTCCTTCATATGTAAAATGAGGATAATGTGCCTTTCTTATAGAGTTATTGAGAGAATGAGATGAAAACATGCTTATAGGAGGCCCTCAATGTATAATGATATACTCAAGGTAAAATGTTTTGTTATCAATCCTCATCTCCCACTCATCTCATATAGCCATTCCTTCATGACACCTCTAAATCCCTCCCCATCAGGGAAACTGACTTTCTGCCCTCCCTCATCCAGCTAAATCCTAACTTCTTTTCTGTATTGCCAGTAATTCTTCTAGGGTAGGGGCAGCTAAGAAACACTGTACAATGCTTTCCTGTCTGAAGATTTCACATAAGTGTATTCATCCAGCATTTCATAAGCCATTTCCTGGGTTAGGCACTGAGGCTGAAATGGTTGGTTATAAGGAAGGGGGCCAGTTCCTCAGGGAATTCTGCTTTGGTGGCAGAACGATGGAAACAAATAATGGCGCTACCATAGAACGCATGACACAGAGGCATGTAGAAAGGGATTCGAACGTCTGCAGGGTCTACTTGTACAGGGATGGCAGAAACCGGTTCATCTTGTAGATTTACTGATAGTGGGCTCCTGGAACTATATTCGAAAAGATTCTGAAGTTCCATCAAGATGCCGCATTAAAGATGGCTATGATTACGAACGTCTGCCACGGAAGCTGCGGTGCGTGTGCCAGATTTAAGACATTCCTGGTGTAAGAGAAAGAGCGTGGAACTTACGTATAAGGTTGAAAGTCAGTCAGCAGCTCTGTGATCTTGGCCAAGTTCCTTAATCTCAACTTCCTTGCTATACATACTTGGAAACAGACGACAACGGTCTCTCATCGGGTGGTTGGAGGATTCAATGAGATAACGTCTGAGGTACCTGGCAGAGAGCTGGTACCCCACAAACGCTGGCTTCCTTTTCCTTCAGCAGCACTGCGGGGCCTGAATCTGGCTACAGAAGTTCAGGCGTTAGGTGACCTGCTGAGGTCACTGACCTCTAGACATGCAGATCCGGGCTCCACTCACTCCTGTTTGACTCCAGAACCACAAGCTGTCCCCCAAACTCCCATATCTGATGGAAGGGTTGAGACCATCTCCGATCACCTGAGAATGATCAATCAGTCCTCGAGTTACCGAATTCCTTGTACACAGGAATGCCTTCCTCTCTGACCAGTCTTCATGGATCCAGCTACCAGTGAGTGAGCGTCTGCTACTCTCAGCCAAAAAGCTCTCTACCCCTCCTCTCTGCCTCCCTAAGTCCATCCTCACTACAGAGGAATCCCTCCTTCTCTCCAGTAAGTTCTCCTGTGTCCACTTCAGCCTCACCATTAATTACTAATTCTATATCCTCTTTCCACTTTTGTCTTCAATGTGGGGTACAGCAAAATCCTTGACACAGATTTGGATACTACTTGCCAAATCACATATTGCAATTAGAGTGCAACTAGGCTAAAAATGTGTTCACCATGACCCCCAGCATCTGCCACAGCAATCCACAATCTGTGTGAACTGCAAGATATTTAATTATTCAAACAATTTAACGTTTGTGTGATTTTTACATGGACTCAGACTGAGATTTATATGCCAAGACTACTGCTTATTTGCCAAATGATCTGATGTTGGTTATTTGATCTGCTAGTTTTCTCATTTTAAAAATGGAGATAATGCTTATTCATATCATAAACTAGTTCTGAGGTTAAACAATATATGGAAAGCATTTAGAATACTGCTTGCCACGTGGTAGGTAATAATAATTACAAATACTTATATAAAGCTTACATATGTGTTACTTATATTAAGTAGTTTACTTATACTAACATTTAACCTTTATCACGACGAAGGGAGACATTATCGTTACACCCATTTTATGGGTGGAGAAGCTGAGGTATAGAGACATCAAGTGGCTCGTAACTGTGAAACCAAAACAAAATTACCAATTCAATTTAAAAATCAACACCAATAAAATTCAAATAAGCTACAGAGTTTGTTTCATTGATTTTTTTTTTTTTTAAGATTTTATTTGACAGAGAGAGACACAGCGAGAGAGGGAACACAAGAAGGGGGAGTGGGAGAGGGAGAAGCAGGCGTCCCGCGGAGCAGGGAGCCCGACGCGGGGCTCGATCCCAGGACCCTGGAATCACGACCCGAGCCGAAGGCAGACGCCCAATGGCTGAGCCACCCAGGTGCCCCTGTTTCATTGATGTTTTGCTAGAAGTAAACCACTGTTGGCAACACAAATATAGTAGTGACTTCTCTGGCTCTGGCGCAGGTTCTTTTTAAATTGGGCATTTCTTGTACTACGTGAGGATCCGATTCTCTCTTTACTTTCCTCTTTCAGAAGTACTGGGAAGTCACCATGAAACCTTCTTTCCTATAGTGAACCGGGAAGCTATTTGGCCTTAATGTATTTATTACCTGGCATCTGTCCTCTTTTTATTAGTGAAGGACAATTAGTAGTACCGTTGGCACAACGAGATAGTAAACAAAAAAGCAAGGAACCTGATATCCTCTGCAAATGATTCACAGTGTAATTCTATTGGTTCTTCCCCTTGATTTACACCAAAACTTAAAATTTTTTAACAATCAGAACTGTGCCAGGTTCCTCCACAATCTAGTCTGAGAAAACTTCAAGTCAGCGTTCTTAAAGTGGGACCACAGTTTCCTTGGAATAATGGGAACTGGTGAACTTGGTACCACGGACTTTATTTTTATACACTTAAAAACATTTTGAGAAAGGGTTCAGACGTTTCACCGGATGGCCAGAGGGTTCACCACACAAAAACAGTTAAGTGTCACCTTCCTGGGTAATCAAGGCCCCAAGGGAGTCTAGAGATCCCCACCCAACAGAACCCCAGGTCCGCCATGCAAATACCAGCCCAAGAAATGACACAGTACCTGGAGGAAACCTGGGAATATCTGCAAAGGGAAGAAACCTGCTCCTCAGGCAAGGCCAGTAGATACTGTTCAGTTCAGGCTTTCACTGAGAGCCATTTCCCCATATATTCAACAAAGTTCACAATAGTGTCTAATGACAAGGAATCTCTCCCTGGCTGAGCTGGGCTTTGTTCAAGGATCAAGATCAATAAGGCTTATGACAACCCTGGTGTACATGCTATTACATCCATTTTATAAGATGAGGTAACAGAGGCCAGAGAGTAAAGTAACTTGCCCAAGGTCATCAAACCAATGGGCTGGAGCTGCAAGAGACTGGGGGGACTGGTCAGTCCTGTCCTTTTCACCAGGCCATGACACCAACCCCTAGGAGGCTGGCTCTCCACAGCTCATTCGATTTACCTCATTCTTGGCAGAGAAGCAAAATCAGAGGCCCTCATTTCCATGGCCATGTAGTGGCAATGCTGAGGCTGGAGCTAGGCTTCTAAAGCTCCTCATTTATTGCCGTTCCCTTTATGCTATGCCAACATTCTTGCTGTTTTAGTATAAAATTGTATTTTATCGTATTAAATTGTATTTAGTACAAAATTGTTTTTAGTATAAAATACAATTTCCCCCAAATCCAAGTTATTTGGCAATTTCATCAGACCTCCAATGAGTATTGCCTTTATCACAGTATTTAGCATATCAGTATTTGTATCAATCAGTATTTGAATACATTTGAAGGAATTCGTTAAAAATCTATAATCAAAACCTTAGATCAAACCTGCTAATGTTATCTATTGCCTGAGTCCAATGAAATATTTGTCCCCGACAATTGCAACCTTACTCCTTCCTTTCTTCATTCAATTAACCAATACTGGCTCTGGTCCAGCTGTGTTTAAGGCACCCAGGCAAGTACTGTGAGTCTCAAAGACTGATGAGATGCAGATCCTGCCTCTTGTAATTTCACTCTAAAAGAGTAAAGAAAACTAGAATCCAGAGTAGAAAGAACACTGAGAAATACTGATCAAGTACTAGCAGCAGTCAACCTGAGAGAACAATGACCAGGGATAGTGAGGGTGGACCGGGTGGACTTCATAAAATCAGTTATGGTTTGGTATGTAGTTTTGAAATTATGTGATTCATTTTTAGAATCCATCGCCCATCTCTTTCCTGAAAAATCTGAGTCAAATTATAGCCAAATCTGTAGTTGTCCTATTTGAATTCTTGGCATTTCCTAAGTAGAGCTTGAAAACAGGTTAATTAGAAAAGGACTAACGAGACCACTTTTACTGCCTGAGTTAAAAAACTTCTACCCCAAATTACAAGATTTTCTATATTGAAAGCACATATAAAGTGAAAATGTGCTTAGCCTGCAGCCTGCAAATAAAACAGGTTGAACATTTTGGGTAACTATTTAAACAAATATCCTTCAACAAACGTCCGGGCTTGGGGAAGGGGGAGGAAGGTTGAGTGTCTCCCCGCTTGGAAACCCCCTCCCCCCAGGGGCTGCCTACGTGGAGCTTTGGAACTCAGGATGTGATTTTCAGGACCTGTTGCAGAATTTCACAACCAAGCATTCTGGCTTTCCTGTTTGTACCTGAATAGTAGAAAGTTCCCGGGAAAAGCTGGGAGTGATCGACCTGATGTTTCACTGCTGTTCTTCAACATTTAAGGTTCAGTGCTTGGTGGGCAGAGACCACCAAACAATGGGGCTGCCAGAAGCTCTGTACCGCAGCAGGGGAAGGATTCTGGGCTCAGCGGGCTGTGGAAGCCCCCACCTCACTCCCAGGACTCCCAACCAGCCCCCGGTAAGATCGCCCTCAGAGCAGCACACTCCGGGCAGAGGAGACCCCGAGACTCGGATCCCGCCCTCCCCTTCGCGGAGAGAGAACCGGCTGCTGGAGGAGGGGGCCCAAAGCTACTAAAAAGCGGATTAGCAGCAACGCGAAACTCTCGGCCCCGCCTCTCTCCCAGAGAAACCGGTACGGGGCAACCCGTGGGGAGGTCACGCGCGAGTATTTATCTGCCCTAAGGGCCTGGGATCCGAGGACGGACAGGGCCGGGGCGGCCGTGGGGAGCCGGACAGGTGTGTGGAGGGGGGCTGGGGGGACCGGGGCGCCGGGGTGAGGAGGATGGCGGGGGGCGGCAAGTGGAGCTTGGCAAGGGGATGTCAGAGGAGATGGGGGACCACCAGCAGGACGTCCTGAGGACCCCGGGAGACGGTGCAACCTCCCTCCCCCTCGGTAGGCGGAGGCGCCCCCTACCCCCCACCTCCCCCCCCGCCACTACTCACTCGAGTCGGGGCAGACCACGCACGCCGGCGGAGATAGCAGAGCCACACCAGAGGGAGCCCGCGGCAGTCCCGGAACACCGACGACGCGAGCGCCCGCACCTTTTAAAGACTCCCTGGTGGGCGTGGCCTGCGAGCCCCGCCCCCGCCCCGCCCGGCGGATTCCTGGACTCGCTCGGGAGGGCCGGGGGCGTCTGGAGCGGGGGCCGCTCGGGGCTCAGCTTCGGGCTAGGGCCCGAGAGACAAAGGGCAGAATCCCGCCTCTTCCTGCTGTTTCCCGCCCGCCTGGCATCTTCCCACGTCCCGAGACCCTCCCGCCGGCCCGACCCCTCCTCCTTCCCCACGGGACCCGGCAGTTTCCAGAAGTGATTAGCAGTTGAAAAAGGAGACTTCCTTAACCTGCAGAGAGACCGAGCCCGGAGACTGTCCTGTCGGGGAACAGCCCCCGCCGCCCTGAAACGTACCATTCCCACCGCGGGCGCCAGTTCTCCTTCAGGAGGGAGCAGTCCAAGGTCGAGGAGGCTCCCACAAGTAGAGAATGGGCCGAATCGGGGCTTTCCGCCACGCTCTCCCTTGCCTTACCTTGTAAGTAAACTCACGTGATTAACTTCCCCAGTGGACAGTCTCTGCTCCCATTTCCAGCTTCTGGGAATCCGCAACCTTCCTGTTCTTAAAGAGCAAAATATCTCATCTAGACTAAATAAATGACGTTGCGAAAACGCCTCATTCCCCAAGTGTTTTGCTTTTCCCACCGCGAGGGCACACGCTGCCGAGGGGGAAGAAACCTAAACCCAGCCAGAAGAAACCAGGGCACCGAAGAGTCCAAGGATGTCAGTGACCACGCAGGGGACCTCATACCTGAGCTGCAGGATGATTTATTGTTTGAGATGGAAAGAACAATGCCGCTCTCTCTGGTTCACATTCTAGGCCTACTGATGACATCTGTGCCAGAAGCCACGATCCCTAAGAATTGATACATGGCAGAATGGGGAGCTGGAAAAAGGCTGTTACTGAAACTATTCCTCCAACCGCAAATGCAGAGCTTCTCAACCTGGACACTTGACATTTTGGGCTGGGTAATTCTTTGTCGTGGGGGCCTCCCCCCACCAGATGCCAATATTACCCTTCCCTCCACTTTGTAATTATCAAAAACAAAATTTGACCTTGCCAGATGCCCTCGTGGGGAGAGGGCCGAGGGCATCGGTTGAGAACCACATCTGCAGGACAACTTGCAGCACTTGATACTATGCTGGGGCTAATCCAGGCTAAACTCATTAGAATAGCAGCCTTATAGTCTCCGCTCACCAAGTACTGTGCAAAAACACATAGTGGTGACTGACATGTCCTGATACTGTGGCCGGAGTCTGGAAGTATTCCTGCCTGCTGTGAGCTTTTCTAAATATGGGCAATCCATGTCTTCATGATATCGGCTAATGTAAAAGTGACATGACTCCTGGGGCTGACGGGACGGTTCTGTTCTCAGATTCTACATTCACTCTAACTCTGTTGCTTACCATACTTATTTTTTCTTGCACAGGTTTCTGTAGTGTCTCTACTGAATGAAACTCTGTGCACGTCACTACTGTGCTGATTTTCAGCGAACCATTGGTCCATTCTCCCCTACCCTTGGGTTCTTGATGTCTTCAGGACCTGACCTGTTTGCTTTCGGAGGCTCATGTTGTCCCTCAATTTCACAGCCTCATTCTATCCTTTGAAGTTTGGCTTACTTCTAACCTAGAAGTATTTCTGCTCTCTGATCCTGAATGTATTTGTCTCAGCGTATTTTACAGTGAGTCTGGGGATAAAGTACTAGATTTGATTTTGAATAAATCTGTATTTGTATTTAATTATCAACATTTTAACAAGTATTTTATTTCCCTTTACACATTTCTTTAAACTGTTGACTCTTTTCCTTGTAAATATTAAGAAATTATTTCGGATGATTAGAGAGAATGGTGCCAAAAGAAAGAGTATGAGCTTTGGAAACAAACTGATATGGTTTCAACATACAGCCCTGCCACGTAGTAGCTCTGGGAGCTTGGCCCAATACTTGACTTCTTCACATCTTTTTTCTTTATCTGTGAGATGATGATACTACACAACTCGTAGGATTGTTTGGAGGATTAAGTCAGATTATGTATGTAAAATGCGTGTCTGGCTCGTGGTAAAGTCTCAATAAATGTAGGTTGTTATGTTAAGCAAAGCTATCTCGATGTCCTTTTCTGCCTTGAGAAAGAAATAGAAACTGTGTTTTGCTGAGCATTCATCTTATGTTGTCTACTGAAAGGTTTGGTAGTAAGACAGTATTAAGTGTTTCCAAAATAATTAAGAGCCTTCTAGTAGAAAGTAATTTGTGTGCCTGGGGAAGAGCTAGTGGGAGAAGAATAAGCCCTTCTGAATTCCATATGGCCCTAGTCTGTTTGACCCCTTCAGTCTTATAAGAGGCAAAAATAAAGGTTAAATGTGTCCAGCAGGAGGTTTCTTTTTCCCAAGACATGCACATTATACTTGTAACAGCTCTTTCATTCTCTGGAACCCATTAAACAATTTCAAATGAAAGTTCTTCATCAAGGTCACTATCCTAAGGCAAGTTGAACCAAGGTTGCTTTTCTTCATGACCTTGTGCTCAAGTTCAGATTTTTCAAATATTTTTATTATTTTTATTTCATGCTACTTTTTCTTAACAAAACTCTGAACCAGATGAGTGTGAATATAAACATAGAGCCTCTTTGTTTTATTTTAGGGCAAGGATTCCTTCCCAGAAGCCAGCTAGGCTACAGTGAAGAGGAATTTTTTAGTATATGTGAAATAAAGGAAAATACAAATTCTCACTTTGCTAATCTACATGCTTAATGATAATAATAATAATAATAATAATAAAGCAGCTGTTCCATCTTGTTTCTTAGCCAAGATTTAGCAGCAGTGGTAGGAATTAAAAATTACTCATATTCAAGCCTAATAGTCTGTGATGCATTTTCTGTCAGAGAAAAGAATCATGTAAGTTACATATGCTTAAATTTTGAAGGGTAGATTAGAGTATCTTATTCTTGATATTTGTCATAGTTGCTTTTTTCAAAACTTATTTGAAACTCCTACTTCATTATAACTTGCATTATTTCTTACCCTTCTTTCTCCAAAAAATACAATATCCGGGGCACCTGGGTGGCTCAGTCGGCTAAGCATCCAACTCTTGATTTCAGCTCAGGTGATGATCTCAGGGTCTTGAGATCAAACCCCATGTCAAGAGTCAAGATTCAAGATTCAAGATTCTCTCCCTGTGCCCCTCCTCCCCCTCACGCTCTCTCTCAAAAAAAAAAAAAAAAAAGAAAAAAAAAACAACCCACAAACAGATAAACAAAAAAACTATTTCCTTCAGTGCTATCACTTCTGTTACAGGATTACTGATGTTTTCTTTCCTCTCAGAGCTTTCTAGCTTTTCCAGCTAAACTTATGCTTTCTTATTACAGCAGAGTTTTCCTAGTTGGACAAGTATGAGAAATATGGTTACTCTTAATCTCCAAGATGGTCTGTTCCATCCACCTTCTCTCAACCTCGTGAATGCCCTGTTTCACTTTTCTCCCTTATGTTCAGTTGGTGACCTCCCCTCCTTCATTCACATTCCCAACCACAGCCAACATATGCTCAGCCTGCCTTCTCTAACCGGCTGTGTTTTCTCCCATGTTTATACTTGCTGTCCCCGATGATGTCAGAGGAAGAGGTTGTTCTCCAACCCCTTACCAAGAATATCCACTCCGAGGGTGCCTTCGATCCCATTTTTTAGCATTCTTAGTTACATTCTCTTGCTCTTCAATTCCTCAGTCTCTACAGCTTCCTTTGCTCTCACATTACAAAGCTGCTGTTATCTTAAAAATATCTTAAAAAGCTGGCAAAACTTCCCTGACTTTCGTAGTAGGTACTCGAGGTGGCCTCTCGAGCATCTGTTCCTCTTTCCCCGAGGCCCAGGTCTCTGTGTGGCATCTGTGTGGTTTCAGGGATGTGCGTCCATAAGCCCTGGTTCAGGGATGGACTATTGGAGCCCATCAAGGCCTTCCAGCCCTGGTTTGGATAGGGCGTGGGGGTCATGTGTGACTTAAACCCATCCTATCAGAGTGAATCTCTGAACTCTGGGGGATGCTGACACAGAGCCATGCTTACATGTTCTGGAAAGTTCTGTGTGCATACATGAGGCCCAGAGTTGCTGCAATCATTTTTGCTGGTAGGAAGCCCACCCGAGAATGATTCAACACAGAGAGGGCAGAGAAATGGAGTCGAGCTCTGAACAAAGGGCTCATGAAGTTTGTCTACCTGCAGGATCTTTTCGTTTTGGGAGCAAATGAATCCCCACTGTTGTTTATTTCTTTTTTTTTTTTTTTAATTTTATTTTGAGATAGATTTTCTGTTACCTGCAATCAGGAGTTCCAATTGATTGTGGTGGTTTAAAACTATGTCCATAAATTCTGTGATACTTCTCACTTCATCAGGTGGAATTTCCTTCCCCTCCCCTGGAGCATGGGCTGGGTTTAGTGTCTTGCTTCTAGAGAACAGAATAAAGTGTATGATTCTAAGACTAAGTAAAAAAGGGCATGGCGACTTCTTTCTCTTTCATCCCTCTCACTACCTTCTATCTCTGTCTCTGTGTCTCTGTGTCTCTGTCTCTTTCTCTCATCACTTGCTCTTGGGAAGCCAGCTGCCATGTCAGGAGGACCCTCAAGTGGCCTTGAAGGGGCCCCATGGTGAAGAAGAGAGGCCTCCAGCCAGCAGCTGCAGAGAGTTGAAGCCTCCTGACAACAAAAACACGGGTGAGCTTGGAAGGCGATTCTACAGGCTTGTTAAGCCTTGAAGTGCCTGGCTGACACTTTACACTCTCGTGAGAGACCCTGAGCCTCTTACTGTGGCCAGAGAGGGTCCCAACCGCCAAATCAATTACCATTTTCCAGTTCTTACGCTACTTGACCTCTTGGTTATAGGACAACATTGAATAAGTATATG